CTTCCCCCTTCCTCCTCCTAGTTGGACTAGGAAAGGGGGAGTCGACTCCCACTAGGAGGAGGACTCCCCTCCTTGGCGCGCCCCCAAGGGCCGGCCGGCCTCCCCCCTTGCTCCTTTATATACGGGGGCAGGGGGCACCCTAGGACACACAAGTTGATCATTGATCTCTTAGCCGTGTGCGGTGCCCCCCTCCACCATAATCCACCTCGATCATATCGTCGTAGTGCTTAGGCGAAGCCCTGCGCCGGTAGCTTCATCATCACCGTCATCACGTCGTCGTGCTGACGAAGCTCTCCCTCGTCACTCAGCTGGATCGAGAGTTTGGGGACGTCACCGAGCCGAACGTGTGCAGATCGCGGAGGTGCCATACTTTCGGTACTAGGATCGGTCGGATCGTGAAGACGTACGACTACATCAACCGCGTTGTCATAACGCTTCCGCTTACAGTCTACGAGGGTACGTGGACAACACTCTTCCCCTCTCGTTGCTATGCATCACCATGATAGATCTTGCATGTGCGTAGGAAAATTTTTGAAATTACTGCGTTCCCCAACAGCTTCGCATCTTGGGTAGTGGTTGTTCGAAACAATTGTTTTTTAAGAGGTTGCACTTGGAGTTGAGGTGGTGCTTCAAAAGCATCCGCCCAAAGATTTGGACTTTGATTGGCAACTTGCAACTTCAAATCAAGTGAGCGCGTGTGTCATCATCTTGCTCCTGCGTAAGCAACGAGTAGGCATGTCTGAGGAGAAAGGAGCACCATGAACAAGGAACCTTTCGCCGTTGGCATCATTTGGGAAAAATCCTGCAACAAAGACAATACAACCCCAAGCCCGGTCGATGCAACATTGGTAAGTCCGAAGGTTAGATAGCAATCTCTCATGCATGACCTGAGAGACTAGGATGGTGGGTTTAGTAGAGTGGGCAAAGAGGGTACTGGTGAGCGGTTTCCTAGCAATCCAAGTATATCAATCTAGAATAGGATAGTTAGACCATTGTTTGTGAGCACAAAAAAGATTTGTTGCATGGGGTAGTTGTGTGTATACAGTTTTCCAGAGAAAGGAAGAGTTGGCATGTTTGTCAGCAATGGAGTAGGAGTAGCGGCGATGATACCAGTTGATCCAAGGGAGGTCGGGGTACTGAAGAGATATGAAAGCAACCTTCACTTGGTATGCCTAGACCATCATATCATATATCCTATATATACCTAAGTAGGTGATCCCCACTAACATATTTATTTCAATATGCAACCTCAACATGCAACCACGCATGCAAAAAATACACAAAACTTTTAATTATATTGCGCTAATTTATTCAACATATATTTATAATTTACAAAGATCATATGTATTTTAGTGTTAGTTCTTATTATAATATTAACCCAAACATTCATGTTCATATAATCAAATTTCACTTAAATACAGTGCAAGCAATTCCCGTGGCAATCCGCAGGGAATCATCTAGTGTTTTTGGTTTGCACACAGTTCTCCATGCAATAAGACACTGCCCACATGCAAGTCTCCTCAGCGTCCAAAAGAAAGATCTTCAAATCACATCTAGTTCCCTTAAAAAAACTGGGATGAAAAAACCGACGTGACATAGGTGTTGAGCGAGTCAAGAATGGAGTAGGGTTAGCCTAGCACAACGGGAGAGTAGGCTTACCGGCCAACCAGTGAGATATTTGAAGAGCGCAAGTTTTGCATAATAGATTGGGAGGTTCTCAAGCGATCAACTCAGAAGCCTTTTCGAAATCCAACTTGAAGACCATGGCGTGAGCTTTCCTTGAGTGACAGGAACTGAGAAGAACAGCAGCGTAGCTTAAGCTTTTCGCAATAGACTTTCTGTTGATGAAGCTTTGGATTAGGTGGTTTAGCTTGTCCGTTCAAATTTTTTGCAATAGCCTTGCAGGAACAGTTCTGAAGCGAGATTGTTGTAAAGTCATTTGCGGATATAGCGTCCGAGTCTTTGGGAAGCAGGATAATAAGGGTTCAACGTTCGACACCTAAGTTCTGGTTGTGGAAGGCATGGAAGAAAGGTGGGACGACATGTTTAATCGAGCTGTAAAATCCATGTCCAAAGCTATGAAACAGGGTCGGAGTAAGATACCTGTTAGTGAAAAACGCTAATTTGAAACAGAACAACTCTAAGTGATCATTCAAATGATTTACTTTTTGGAACCCAGTGTTAACAAAGCACTCACGGGGTTTCCTTCCGTAACAACAGGCCACCTCCTATCCTACACAGTTACTCTCTCCGTTCGGAATTACTTGTCTCGAAAATGGATGTATCTAGAATTAAAAGGCGTCTAGATACATTCATTTTTGCGACAAGTAATTCCGAACGGAGGGAGTACATGAGAGTAACCCCGTGGGCAGTGGCACAACATTCCCACTCGTGCAATCAAACCATCGGCACAAAGTAGTTACGCCAGCCACCTTAGCAAGTACCACCAACCCCCACCCCGCACAGCAAGCCCCCTTCGGTCAGTGACAGCTTCGGCATTCATGGTACCTCCAGTATACTGATATGTGACGCCATTTTGAGTCCACAGTTCCTAAAGCAGCTCGGCGTCATCCTGGTCACCATCGACGTCGTCAGCTTCGTTCTCGTCCTCATCTTCAGGCGCATCCGGGTCTACTCCCTGCACAGGGGAATCGGAGCAGTCAACGTTTCTTATCTTACCGTGGAGCAAGTCTAAGAGGGAAACCCAAACATGACAGGAGCCACTGAATGTTAGGAGATCACACCTTCATTTGCTTCTCCAAGCGCTCCAATCCTTTCTTGGCTGCTTCATTGTGCGGGTTTATCCTGCAAAAGGGAGTTGTTTTTTCCATGAACTAGTACACAAGGCTACAAAAGGTAAAACAATAGACATGTCGAGAAGTGTTAACAGAGGTTTTCGGAACAAATATAGGCCGGTTGCCTCCCAAAATTCAGTTGACACCTGATAGAGCTTCACTGCAACCTACAAGGAGTGACGTTTCTATCTCTAGATCGGTTAAGATGCACTAGCAAACAGCTAATGGGAACTCAAAGTGATAACTAACATATGTGTGTTTGTAAAGTAGTACTCCCTCCGTTCCGAATTACTTGTCGCGGGTATAGATGTATCTAGATGTATTTTAGTTCCCTCCGTTCCAAATTACTCGTCACAGATATGTTTGGAAAGAGAAGAAGAGGTGTTGCTGAAGCTGAGCTGCTGCTGGTTGGAAAGAGAAGAAGAGGTGTTGCTGAGTTTTGCTGTTGCTGCTTATCCCGCCAAACAATGGCTGAACCAACTGGTCTTGCCGAGGCTTTGGAGAAGCTCGCTAAGATCCTCGCGGAGTCCAACTCTGGGGCCATCGTTCCTCGACAGGGAGTGGCTCAAAAGCTTGAAATGTCGCCCCTGGACATGAAGCTAGAGGGGGCAACAAATTATTTGAGCTGGTCCAGAAGGGCTTTGTGGGCTGTGGAGCAGAAGGAGCTTGATGGATATTTGTTGGGCACCGTTGTAGAACCAAGGGACAAGAGTAGTGCAGAGGGCAAGAGGTGGAAGGTCATCCACTCTGTACTTATGGTGTGGTTGTTGAACTCCGTGGTGGCCTCCATTGGACGCTCTGTGGAGGGGCTATCCTCACCTGCTGAGATATGGAAGATTCTGTCCACTCAATACTCTGGCAAGGGCAATGTCATGCTCATTGCTCAGATTGAGGACAAGATTAGGTTGCTGCGTCAAGATGATGGCATGTCAGTGATGACATACGTGGCAGAACTGCAGGCTCTGTGGGCTGACCAGGATAACTGTGATCCCTTGGAACTCTATGATGCGGCTTCAATCGAGTCAGGGCATAAGTGGATGGCACGCAGGCATGTGCTGAAATTTTTGGCTGGCCTCAAAGGTTGCTTTGATGGCAGGAAGGCTTCCCTGTTGCACCAACCTAGTCTGCCTACCATTCCTGAGGCTATTGCAGCGATGACTCAAGAGGAGGTGTGCCTATCCCTTGAGCATGCAGACATGAAGGTTGTGCCAGCTTCGACATTTGCAGTTACTGAGCGCATGGAGTGGGGAGATCCCACCAAATGTCATATCTGTGGGGAGGTAGGTCACTGGAAGAGAGAATGTCCAACTCGTGGCAGAGGCAGGGGATATAACAGAGGGGGAGCAGGCAGAGGTAGAAGTGCTAGAGGCAGAGGTGGATACTCAGAGACCTCATGGAGCCATGCTTCTAGAGGTAGAGGTGGCTACTCAGGACACTCAGGGGGTCAGAGGGCTCACATGGCCGTTGCAGGAGACACTGGGACGTCCAAAGGCAAAGATGTAGATGATGTTGTCTATGGAGACTTTGCTCACTGGGCCTCCACTGATGAAGGTAATCCGGAAAGAGCATCTCTTGCTACTAATGAGAGTGCTCCAGAGTGGGTTCTTGACTCTGGAGCATCTAAGCATGTTGCTAGTAACTCATGTGTGTTCGAATCTTACACTAAGCATCCTCCCTCTCACACGGGCACTATACAAACGGCTGATGGCACAAAACAACCAGTCATAGGGGTTGGTACAGTAAAGTGTACTCCGACCATTTCCCTATCGTCAGTTTTACATGTGCCAGCCTTTCCTGTCAATTTGGTCTCTTTCAGTGCACTCATTGATCAAATGGACTGTCGTGTGATCCTTGACAAGTTCGGTTGCTTGATTCAGGTGCGACAGACGAGCCAGACGGTTGGGACTGGCACCAAGCGTAGGGGGCTCTGGTACATGGACCAGGAGGTGCAGCCGGACTTGGTGTGTGCTGCGACCATGGAGGATAAGGAGAAGCAGGCGATGATCCATCATTGTAGGATGGGGCATGTATCTTTTGATAAGATGAGTAGAATATTTCCGGATGTTATGTGTGGAATAGGCAAAGGCAAGCTGACATGTGATGCTTGTGAATATGCAAAACACACACGGGCCTCATATGTGAGTAAGGGGCTCAGGAGCATATCTCCTTTTATGCTTATTCATTCGGATGTATGGACTAGCCCAGTGGTGTCAATGAATGGGAAGAAGTATTTTGCTACCTTTATTGACTGCTATTCTCGCATGACTTGGATTTACTTGATGCGTCACAAGGATGAGGTGTTTAGCTGTTTTCAGAACTTCCATGCTCTTGTCAAGAACCAGTTTCAGGTACAGGTCAAGGTGCTCAGGACGGACAATGGAACGGAGTATGTGAACAACATTTTTGGGGCTTTCATGGCTGACCATGGGATTCTTCATCAAACTTCATGTCCGGACACCCCCCCTCAGAATGGAGTGGCCGAACAGAAGAATCGTCATGTTCTTGAGGTCGCTCGGTCGTTGATGTTTACCATGAATGTGCCTAAGTTCTTGTGGGATGATGCAGTTATGACAGCCACATACTTGATCAACCGAACACCTTCCAGGATACTTGGCATGAAATCTCCGTCTGAGTTGATCATTGGAGATAATAAGTTTGTTGTTCCCCCAAAGTTGTTTGGCAGTACCTGCTTTGTTCGTGATCACCGACCATCTGTTGGCAAGCTTGATCCTCGGGCAGTGAAGTGTGTCTTTCTGGGATACTCGTCTAGTCAGCAGGGGTATAAATGTTGGTGTCCCTCTGAAAAACGCAGGTTTGTAAGTATGGACGTTACATTCAGGGAGTCTGAGCCATTCTATGGTGAGCCGACTGATCTCAGTCTGTTGTTTGCAGAGCTTGACCACCTACACCCTGTGCATGATGGTCAAGAGGGGGAGAAGGATGTGTCTCATACTCACGGTGATCCTGTGGACATTAACACTGATAATGATGTGCAGGCTCAGGTTCAACCAATAGTGGGTACAATTCCGGTTAGTACCATCACTGATGATGATGTGCGGGCTCATGTCGAGCCAACTGTCGATACACTTAAGATTGGTGCTCTCCAGGTTCCTGTTCGGGATCGATGGCAGACGAATACCCTGGTGTACTCTCGGCGGCAACCACAAGTGCAGGGGGAGCAGCAAGGCAGGGAGGCAAGAGTTCAGGGGGAGCAGCAAGGCAGGAAGGCAAGAGTGCAGGGGGAGCAGCAAGGCAGTGAGGCAAGAGTGCAGGGGGAGCAGCAAGGCAGTGAGGCAAGCTCATCTGACACAGTGGAGCTGCCCATTGCGTTGCGAAAACCTACACGTGAAGCGGCAAGGAAGGGTGAGGTAGCAAGGAAGGCTCTGCCAAAGGATGATGCTTGTGATGACCTTGATATTGGCAATTTTGTGTCTTACAAGGCTTTGTCACCTTCATATAAGGCGTTTGTTGCCTCTCTGCAAACTATGTCTATCCCTAGGGATTGGAAGGCTGCAAAGCAAGATCCGAAGTGGCGTGAATCGATGATAGAGGAGTTAGAAGCATTGAAAAAAAACAAGACATGGGTGCTAACCACATTGCCGGCAGGAAAGAAAGCAGTGAGTTGTAAGTGGATTTTTACTGTGAAGCAGAATCCTGAGGGCAAGGTGGAACGGTATAAGGCTAGATTGGTTGCCAGAGGATATAGTCAAACTTATGGAATTGACTATGATGAGACATTTGCTCCAGTTGCAAAGATGAACACGGTACGGGTATTGGTCTCGTGTGCTGCAAACTTTGGGTGGAAATTGCACCAGTTAGATGTCAAGAATGCCTTCTTACATGGTGACTTGAAAGAAGAGGTATACATGGAGATACCGCCAGGTTTTGGCACAGAACAGACTACGGGGAAGGTATGCAGGCTGAAGAAATCCTTGTATGGTCTGAAGCAATCGCCGAGGGCATGGTTTGATAGGTTCAGACGAGCTGTTTGGAATATGGGGTATGGCCAATGTAATGGTGACCACACGGTGTTTTATAGACACACTAATAAGAAGATCACCATTGTTGCAGTGTATGTTGATGATATCATCATCACTGGAGATGATGAGGAGGAAATAAAGAGAGTGAAGGGGTGTCTGAGCAAGGAGTTTGAGGTAAAAGACTTAGGAAATCTAAAGTACTTCCTTGGCATAGAAGTGGCCCGGACAGAGAAGGGAATATCTTTGTGCCAACGAAAATACACCTTGGATCTTTTGAGTGACATGGGCATGATGGGATGTCGTGCAGCCCCTACTCCAATTGAACAAAATCATCAAGTAACAGCACAATCAGGTGAGCTAGTGAATAAGGAAGATTATCAGAAGCTGGTTGGGAGGTTATTGTACTTGTGTCATACCAGGCCTGACATTACGTATGCCGTGGGGGTGGTGAGCAGATACATGCATGAACCAAGGAGAGGGCATCTTGATATTGTTCACAGAATCCTGAGATACTTGAAGGGGACTCCGGGTAAAGGGTTGTGGTTTGCGAAGAGTGGACATCTTGAGGTGGATGGCTATAGTGACTCTGATTGGGCTAGCTGTCAAGATGATAGACGATCAACTTCAGGTTACTGTGTGTTTGTGGGAGGAAATTTGGTGTCATGGAGAAGCAAGAAACAGAATGTTGTGTCTAGATCAACAGCAGAAGCTGAATATAGAGCATTATCTCAAGGGTTGTGTGATATGCTCTGGGTGAAGCACCTACTATGCGAGTTGAAACTCTTGAGGAAGGGACCCATAAGGGTGTGGTGTGACAATCAGTCAGCTATAGCCATTGCTAATAACCCAGTTCAACATGATAGGACGAAGCATGTGGAAATTGATCGCTTCTTCATTAAAGAGAAACTTGATGCTGGGATCATCAGCCTTACTCATGTCAGCTCTGGGCAGTAGTTTGCAGATTGCTTGACAAAGGGACTGGGAACAAAGGACTGTAACTTGGCGTGTGACAAGATGGGGATGATAGATATCTACCACCCATCTTGAGGGGGAGTGTTGAACTGGTATGGGCCCTAGCCCATCAAGATCTGTCTCTTGGGCCCAAGCCCATGAGAGGTGCTGACCTAGAAGAGGAGCCCCTCTTCCCCCTGCCCCGGTGTGAGCCGCCAGACACGAGAGGAACTACTCGTGAGTCACCAGACACCACCTGCCCTCCTCTCTGTAGGTACTCCCCCTCTCATCTCAACACTAATCTCTCAGTTTACCTACATTTAATAAGCAAGTTCAATCATTTACAACCTTCCAGGTACTAATTGGCCTTGTTCGAGGGAGCAATTGACCCATTGGTGAGGGGGAAAGACAATAAACTCTGGGAAGAGAAATGCCCAGGACTGTAAATGGATAGGATTGAGAGGGTGGGGATATACATGAATCAGCATGAAGCCTTCCTACAACTTAGGGTTGCTATTTCATAGTTTCAGCTCCAAGAGGAAGTGAACCTACCTTAGTGCAGATTGATAGTGGGAGAGTGCATCAGAAAGCAGACTTGTTGCTGCAAATACTTGAGCCAACTTGATATGTAGAGAATCATCAGCCCATTGTCTTAGATATCTTTCAAGTAACAAAACTGCCTCCTTATTCCGTCCTTCAGCAACATGCAAATCAGCCAATGCCAATGCTGCTCCGAGAAATCCTGGTTCGAGACGAATAGCAGATTCATAGAACTTTCTTGCCTGGAAAATAAATGAACAACATGGATTAGTTGCCAAAAGGCACGATCACAAGGAAAAAGTATACAGAATGAAATCATAAGAAAAAAAAACTGTTTGGCTTTACCTTCTCTCTCCCACTGGAACTGATAGCATGCACATCACCAACTAGCTTGAGAGCTTTTGCAGACTGATGCATAACCTTCATTGCTTCACGTGCAGTGAATAATGCATCTTTGCATTTGGAAAGTGCTAGATAAGCACGCACCAAACCTGAGAATAATATCCATATTAAGCTGCCTGTAGGTTTTGGATAAGTAACCAGAAGTATCTATGTGTAACAACCTTGATAAGAGCGAAGATCAGCCCTTAGTTCTTGAGCTCCCCTGAAGTCTGTTACTGCCAAATCTGGTCGATTCAATGAAAGATGCAGATTGCCCTTAAAGAACATAAGCAAATAGTAAGCCCACCACCTGGATAACAAAAAACAAAGATAGGATCCTAGCCATATACGAATTATGAAGTATAAGCCAACAATCACAACAGGTTTGTTATAAACCCGCCAAGCATGCTTGTATACTTCATTGCAACATTTCCAGAATATGACAATGCAGGCGGACACTGGTACCAAAACATATTTATGTTGTATGGTCAATAACGTTCTGTTTTCTTACCTTCATAATATAGCCGGTTATATGCCTATCATCAACTCGAAGGCTCTGCAAAATGTAAAACAATGTAAGGAACATTACATGGAAGGTTCGCTTCCACAAAACATATCTTATCTACAAAATGTGCATACCTTTTCAGCATATGTCAAAGCTTTTCTTTCATCTTTTCTTTCCCAAAATGCTGCAAGAGCAATACATGTTTCTGGTCTTGCAGGATCAATATGCAGCATATCATGTACCAGTTTGTTTAGCTTAGTGTAGTCCGATTTTAATTTTAGGAGGATTGCATACTCATCCATATATGCCATGATGTTTGGATCAATTAACCGAGCCTGCAAAGCACCAACCGTTTTAGAGATGTATATTTCCTTATAAGGAACTCGAAGGCTATACTTGTTCCTTTACCTTCTCAAAATTCATGATTGCTTCTTCATTCTTGCCTATGATAGTTTCAACCTAGAAATAAGAAGCAGAAAAATCAGGATAGACAATGAATAAAGATAATTAAATTCACACGAAAAAACAAAATGTGATGATGAACTATGACTTCCAGAAATTCTTTACATAACTGAGGAACATAGGAGCATCAAACTTACAGAAATCAAGACATGCATAACAAAGAGGCATTACATGAGAGAGAATAACTTGATGGTTCTACTTCAATATACAACATATACAGAAGCGCAGCAATGGGAAACTTGAAGAAAGAGATAAACCTTCGCAATTTCCAGCAAGATGTGCACATTATTGGGAAATCGTTGCATTAGTTCCAGGTATATATCCAGGCCACCTAGAAAAGGTAAAAAAACAGTAAGCTTATTTATTATGATGAAGAACCTGAAGTTTTGAAAGCTGCAAATTATGCCCAACAGATTACTGAAACTGAAGTTTTGAAAGGTTGACACAGGATGGAGCTACATGGTGATATGTTATTAACAACGAATCATTTAACCAGTACTCAATATCCTTTGCAGCCATACGAAATAATTCCTTGATCAATCAATAAAAATCAACTAAGCACATCTTATGCTAGAATCATCAAACAAAATCTGGAAAAAGTTCATCGCAATACCTTTATAATCATGTGAAGCAATGCAACACTGGGCCTCTACATACCGCTATTAAGAAAACAATAATTGAAGTAAATTAATTATTTGAGCCAACCCATAACAAGAACAAGATGTATGATCAAATATTTGCTGAAAGAGAAACACAGTTTCTGAGGAACCAGTAACAATCACTGCAATAAGAAATACACTTTAGCTGCGGAAAGAATAATGTGGATCATTTGGTAAATTGTAAAAATTCCACCTAATCAGTTTGCATTAATGGTATCCTTACGTTTCCCATTTAATCACACCTAATCAGTTTGCATTAATGATAGTAAAGAAAGTAACAGAAGTGCAGGTGTACATTGTTGTGGCCTATGTTTTTAAGGCGGTAAGGCGAGGCAAGGCGCTGGGGGGGGCGCCTCACTGCCTAAGCGCTAAGGCACAAGGCAAGGCGAAACCTTAGAGAGTTCTAAGTAGTAGAATTGAGCAGAATTTGGTAGGCAACTGCAGGAGAGGTAGGTGATGGTTGCTTGCTGCTGCCTGCTGTCCTGGAGAGGAGGGGGAGGAGGATCTGCTGGAGAGGAGGGGGAGGCGGATCTGCTGGAGAGGAGGGGGAGAAGCAGCCGGAGAGGAGGGGGAGAAGTTGCTGGAGAAGCTCAGATCCAGCCGCCAGAGGTGGGGTTGGGGGAAAACTGAAACTGGTTAGGGCTCTCTCTCCCCCTGCTAGTAACTGTTGGCGCCCAGACTCTGTTTCCCGCCCTTCTCTTCCCGCCCAGAGCTCTGTTTCCCGCCTGAACTCCCTGCCCTGTCTAAGGCGTCTTCATTTGCCTAAGGCGGGAAGAATGGCGCCTAGGCGGACGCCTTGGACGCCCTATGGACTAAGGCGGACGCCTTAGGCATGCACGTAAGGCAAGGCCGACGCCTTGTAGCCTGGGGGCGCCCTGACGCCTAGGCGTCGCCTAAGCGACGCCTTAGGGACGCCTTAAAAACAATGGTTGTGGCAGTTGTGGCAAATTCTTCAGAGTCGAAAGAAGGCCAAAGGTGTGTTCCAATTTAGTAAAGTTTAGCATGTAGACTGTGTAGTGCTGCTTTGGCTTTCAATCATCAATGTGCCAAGGAGATCTAACATAGGATAGCAATCACCTATTTTGTAACTTAGGGTATACAAGATTAAACGCTGTATGCCATGCAAGCTTATCTGCTGTCAACATAAATTCATTTCAATATATTACTTTCATTACTATTGGTGGCAATGTGACATGCCTCAAATGGTAATGTTTCAAATATGTATGAAATCCCATGGAAACATCAGCAGCCTGCCTATATGCAACAGGAGTGCAGCACATTTCACTTACATTCCACCAACGTTGTGCATCCAAAAAATCACCTGGTGGCTTGCCTCCTCTATTTGGTGCCTACAGACGAATATAATAATCATTCCAGATTTCTAAATTTCAGCAAATAATGATTCAAAAATAAATTTTACACTGGGCAATTGGATGTTCCTTATTTCTGCATAGTTTGTATATGCAGTGCTCACAGCTCAAAGATTTATACACATCAACTGTTAATAACTTATATGTACAGAAGATATATGCACCAAAAGGGGGTAAATTTTGGTGCAATGATGGTTCTGTAACTATGTTCAACTATGCGAAGGTAAATAGTGGAAGTATACGCAATTCAGAGATATCCTTGAGCAACCCATAAATAGAATACAACTTACTGCATACTCCACACGTAAAACAGAAGATGTGGGAAATTTATCAAGGTGGTACTGTTTAGATCAACACATTGAACAATAAAACATGATTAGAGAAGAAGACTTCGTATTTAGGAAATTTGACAATCAATCAGCAATTCAGCATACAGAAAACTAGCATAACGGATATTTATCTGTTCTCACTAAAATTAAACTATTCATCTAGAGAGACCATGCTTCCTTTTGAGATCTTAAGCAAAAGAAATGGACACTTACTTGTGCAAATAGTAAAGAGAACTCCTTTGAAGAAAGCCCCATTTCAGCCAAAGCTGCAATAGCCTCAAATACATAAGGGCATTGCCTAGAAGAAAAGCATAAAGATGTCGAAAACAACTTGTCAAATTACATCATGAAGGAGTAACCATATGAGGCAATGCGATAGAACAGGAAATGTCACTATCAATTTATGCCTATTACCTACTCCCTCTGATTCATAATATAATTACTTTAGGACAATGACACAGTCATCAAAGTAACACTTTAACCATAAATGATTAAAAAATATGTCGTTACAACAGATGTAATTCAGTAATTACATGTTATACAAATATCATGAGAAATCTAGTAATATCAATACTATATTGAACATTTTGGTAATATTTTGTATAATGATGGTCAAGCCAAAAAAATATTTAACTGACAGAACCTCTAAAGCAGCTTATATTATGCATCAGAGGGACTATTAAGTTGCAGAATTCAGGATCGTAGAAAACAAATCATTTGGTATGTTGTACCTCAAACACTCTTTATAACATATGGCAGCCGCACGATTATTTCTGGATATTCGATAAAGCTTGCCTAACATCAGATTCATTTTTAGATTTCTCATTTTAGAAGGAATCCCTTCCATCTGCAGAAAACATGTAGATCAAACTCTGCATCATTTGCCATTGCCAAAAGAACAAACCACATCTAGATCCAGACCATCCTACTTATATTTAAAGGTTTCGTATTTCAAATATCGACCAACACTTATATGAGCATAAAAAATGTTTGCTAAATTTAGCAAACATTAACACAGACTCACAAAGAAAGAAAAGCCCGAACCTCTTGGAGTGCTTCACGATACTCATGTAAAGCAGAATGGCAAATAGCTATTTTAGACTTCACCTACAACAGTAGAGCAAAATTGCACTGAGTTATTTGCTAGGGTTGTATAGAATAAAATACCAATCCAAGAAACACCAGAATGGTCTACTGAGCTGTTCACACCTCATTTTCATTGAATGGCATAACATTTGAAGAATTTGGAGAAGGTGACCGGCCGGTAGTGGAAACTGAGATTCTGGCAGTACTTGTTGCTTGTCTGGGGATACTTTTGCTACATTGCATAGCTTGCTTGTAGGCATTCTATAATGATCAAAAAGCGGAAAATAAGAAACTTAAATTTCAACAGTAAGCAGCAAACTGTCACATGTATGCTCAGCTTTCCGACACAATAAAGCTCCTCATAGCATTCTAAATTTCTAATAAACCATGGTTTCTCGGCAATATTACCAGTGCCCTCCAAAATTCTTTCTCCCCATACAACGCATCACCGTGCAGGACCTGCAGTACAGCACGCAACATTTCAGGCACGAGATGTGAAAAATGCGCTATCTAGGCAATAGAAATGGGCATTCGGCAGCGCAACATTGTGTAAGAGTAGGACCGAGCTAGCATCAGCTTCCCCTACCGAGCTAAACAGGGCAACTTACCAAGCTTTCCGCCTTCATGGATATGCTGGCCTCATTACTTGCACCACCAGAAGACACAAGAAAGCATCCCTGCAAGTCATGAAGAATTATTATTACCACCTGAAAAACCTCTGTTCAGAAGGAAAATCTAACGAGAAACAGTGTTATGGCCCCCTTTTTGCTTTCGCAACTCGGCTAAGGCCCCCTTTTGGAACGCGGCATTCTTCTTCAATTCATAGACCGCCAAGCCACCTCGCTCCCTAGGTCAACTACCTAGCCACCAACGAGCAGCCCGCGCACGCGCGCCACATGCAGCGGAGCAGTTGATCCGGGGCAAAACCCTAGAGATTCGGAATGGGGGGAAGGCGCAGGGGTTACGTACGAGGGTCTGGGCGGAGTCGAAGATGCCGGCGTCGAGGAGGGCCGCCATCGAGTCCCGCGCCGCCTCCATCTCCGGCAGGCTGTCCGATCCGGCGCGGCGCGCTGTCCGCGAGGGTTTGCCGAGGAAATTTTGAATTGGGATTTCGCTGCTCGGTTTGATTGGAGAAGCGTCACTGCCTTTCCTCACTGCTCAGTACACCGAAGAAACGAGAGTAGAAGGAGGTTCGGAATGGGCACTACCCGGGCTTGTGCGGCCCAGTTGGGCCCGCTTCGAATTTTCAGGCGAGTGGCGGGCAATATTTTCCGTTTGGAGAAAATCTAACGCGAGTCGTTTCGCTCGAATAGTACCAGACCGCTAACCGAGCACCGACATCACCGGCATATATACGTGCCGCTCGTCGTATGCGTCGGCCGGGCGTGGTGGTGCGCGCCTGTGACTCCAGCTTTGGAGGGCTAGAGTTGGCATCTGTGGTTTGGGGCTGTCGGGGGCGCACACGCACGATCCATCAGGAAATTATCGCGTTCTCTGATTTCAGAGACCGATCTTTCCCTTCTCTTATCTCCTCTAGAGAGAGCTAGAGCTTAATAATATGTCGGCTGCGGGGAACACTCCCAGCCGTAACCCGCCTCTTACAAGATGATCTTGGACGGTTCTCCTTTAAAGGAGCCCCCGCCACGTGTGATTGGCCCTAGCCCTAGCTCTCCTAACCTCATATGCCAACTCTTTTTCCCTTTTTACCGTTGAATTATATAGGTGGGTCATTTTCTTTTTGCAAAAATGATCCATAGCTATTACTTTCTTTGTTTCATAATGTAGTGCGTGTAAATATTTTAAGAAGTAAAACTTTACTAACTTTGACCAAGTTTTATGTAAAAAAAATATACATCTAGAATGCCAAATACTTTCATTAGATACTTCACAAGATATATTTTTATATTTTACTAGCAAAAAGGCCCGTGCGTTGCTACGGGTTGAACATTGGCCATGTCGACCGCTCATACATGTAAACATGGCAACCTAGAGGCTTCACCTATACATCTAACAATATTCAGATTGTGCAAAGTGCAATCAACATAGAATTTTTCATCAATTATGGGAAATCCAACTTCCAGTTCAAACTCATTTAATTAAATTCAAATGAGTTTGACATTAAACTTTTCAATTATGCTCATTTCTATTTTTTCTGGATCAAGCACATTTGTGTGACTCTGGAATAAATAGCCCCTTGCCAAAAACCCATTCCTAACCCTTTCTCCTTTTTGCTCTCTCTGATTATATTTAATAAATAGAAAGAAAAGAGAATAAGAGAAGACGAGAGTAGCCCGCCAGGCCGGCCCAACCGCAGCCCACCCTGATTCCCACTCATCTCTCTTCCTCTCGATTCCCTCGGCGCCGCCACTCACACGCGCACGCATCGCGTCAGGAGAAGAGCTCCTCGCGCACCGACCACCTGCCCTGGAGCTCGACCCCGGATGCGCCACCGCCGCCTTCCGCGGTGAGGAGCGGAGATCCCTCGCGTCGCCCTGCTGCTCTCCTCCTTCCCTTTTGCCTGCCTGCTCTTGCCTTCACCGTCACCTTCAACCGCTCCTCGGTGTAGTCCATGCACGTCTCACCTTTACTAACCCTCTATACTTTTATTTAATCCATGTGCCAATGAATTCTCGTGTGTATCCCTCTTGTGTAGGCTGCTTGTTGATGTTTCAGGGGACTTGCCAGCACTTATGAATTGGTGAAAATTGATATAAGAAAGCAAGGTGGGACTATTTAACAAAAAAGATGCATGCATGTTATTATGAAATAAATTATGTAATGTGGCTTCCGGTCCATAAAAGATGACCCAACAGTTCATTGATTCGATGCAAAGAAAGCCTTGTAACGCGGTACGTGTGAGGGAAAATACTGTTGGCCGCTCATTGGGGCAAACTGCCGGCGCTTCGCACAGGAGCTAGCGACCGAGCAATGCTTTGGGCCGGCCCATTTACGTAGATAGCTCATGAACTGCACCACTCCGGTTTTGTGAACCCTCTAGAAGGTTCCATGAACCGGGTTTTTTCTCTTATTGGTTTTCCACTTTTCTGTTTCTTTTTTTTTCTTTTCTTTCATTTCTGTTTCAGGTTTTCGTTTTTTGTTCCCTTTTCTTTTTCAAGTTTATTTTTCTTTTACAGAACATGTTCGTGGTTTTACAAAATGTTTAGGATTTTATTTTTTATTTATTTTTCTTCTCTTCTCTTTTTAAAAAAATTGAAAATTTTAAATTTTGTTCATGTTTCCAAAAAATGTTCTCAAAATTAAAAAATTGTTCTCGTTACACAAAACAGTTCAAAATTTTCGAAATTCATAAAATCTACCGGATTTCAATTTTTTGTTCACATATTCAAAAAATATTTGCACTTCCAAGTTTGTTCGTGGTTTTTCAGAATTGTTCTCCATTTCAAAATATGTTCTCAAGATTCAAAAAATGTTTGTGCTTTAAAAAATTGCTAACGCTTCCAAATTTGTTTAGGATTTTTCAAAATTGTTCTTAATTTCAAAATTTGTTCTCAAGATTCAAAAAATGTCCGTGCTACAAAAAATAGTCCATGCTTCCAAATTTGTTCTCAAGATTCAAAAATTGTTTGTGCTTTAAAAATTGCTCACAAATTCTAAAAATGTTCATGTTTCTGAAAAATGTTTGGGAAATTCAAATTTTGTTCATTTTCATAAAAATTGTTCACGTATTCAAAAAATGTTCAGGTTTCAAAATTTGTTCACAAATTCAAAAAAATGTCCGCATGTTTAGTTTTTTTCACTAATTCAAAAAATTGTTCCTGTTTCCGAATTTTGTTCACATATTTCAAAAAATACTGTAGTTTATGAAGTTTGTTCACATTGTTTTTACAAAAATCATGTTTTTGAAATCCCTTTGCCAAATTCAAAATTAGCTCAATTTTTGTAAAAATAGTTTAATTTTGAAAAATTCTCAGTTCTCCAATTTTGTTATTGTTTTCAAAATATGTTTTGCGTTTATGAAAAGTAGTTCATAATTTATATATATTCACGTATTCAATTTTTTGTTCCTGTTTGTTTTTAAAAAATTTGTGTCCCCTAATAATGTTTGTGTTTCGAAAAGAGTTTCTTTTTTAAAAAATTATGCTTCAAATTTTAAAACAAGTTTTAATGTGCCGCGGATTATAGATCATATACTCTGGGCTGGCATTGTACATACTAAACCTCAGTTACTACAGTGGTTGCGTGCTCGCTTCTCTGGCGGGAGGACTTGAGTAGGATATCTTTCCCACAAGTTTTATTTTTTGAAATTTGGCGGAGTGGTTTTTATTTTTCGCCGCCGCTGGCAGTTTCTTTAAGTTTCAGAGTAACACGCCTGACGTGGAGGCTAGCGCGTCGCGCGTATATGTAGCAGGTCGCGGGTTCGATTCCCATCGGCTTTGTCTCTCGAAAGTGCTCATAGGGATAGGGTGTGTGTGCGTTTATAAGAACAAATGTATGTGCGTGTATATAAACGCTCGTGGTTGTGTTGATGCTAAAAAAATGTCTTTTCTAGTTGATCTTGGATGTCGACTGATCCAAGGGTTGAGGCAACCGATCCCTGGCATCTGTCAGATGGCGCGTAACAACTATCCAAGCTTCTTTCGTGGGTAAACAAAAAAGCAGCATTAGAAAGGCGTCGAGGCTTAGTGTTTGTCATAGTATTTCTCCGTTCAAGTGGACCAAATGTTAAATTTTTTTTATTAACCGTGAAGCGTGGGAACCCAGTCTTGTGACATCCCCTTTCCTTTCCTCCATTCCAACTAGCAAAAGAAAAGGTTTCCTACTTGTGACGTCCCTAATTCAATCGTACACTAATCATACTAGTATAACGCCCGTGCGTTGCCACGGGCTCTTCAAAATTTATAATCAGTATCTTTCGTTTATCATCCCCTCATATTGGGTGATTATGGAGTGCTCTAATTAGAAACACAACAATCAAATATTAGGAAATTTCACCGAACGAACAACAAGGAATAATACGATATCTATCAAACGAATAAAATGAGGTCATATTTTTGGTCCGTCATGCACTTCTGTTGAAAAGTGCCTATCCCTTTTAGAATCAACCCACTGTTTGCTCGCACGCAAAAAAAATACATCTCTAAAGTGGGGAACCGATCGGTGCCAAAAAGAACTCAAACTCTTATCCAATCTCGACTTCGTGCTCTTCCACTTCCATTGATAAAGATGGGACGTCAAGGGTTTCATCATGATGACCTCGAGCAGCCGCTGACATCCCTCCCCACATCTACCCCTACCCCCTGCTGCCGCTTGCACTGTCCTTGCTCCTCGAGGGAGCTAGGGACACAATGTTCTCTAGGATGGGCATGACCAGATCCACGAGGAGGCCACATTCTTCCACGGGAACCCAACCAAGCACACCACCCTCCGCAACCATCCAATCCCAGCCTAACAAAGTCAAGACCCGCCATCGATCCACAAATCAGGCTCGCCGCATCCAGGTTCACTGCAAGTCTGCGACGAGTCTGTAGTCGACATCTTGACTTTGGCTATCCCCACGGAAGAATCATCGGATCCTGCTTACTTTTACCATCACTTCGTCTCTTCCCAAGGCAGCGACACCACCCAGTCAATCACCACCACCGCTTGCGGCTTGCCTACATAAAATCATGAGAAATCCCCACGGCGGTGCTGTAAGATCACCTTGGCGACCTCGACAGTGACCGACTGGTCTAAGATCTAAGCTAGCCGCTCTTTGTAGAAACCAATAGAAGTAGGCATGTGACTCGGATTTGTTCTTTGGTGTGCATGCGTTTCTTGCTGCCCACCAGCTCTTGTCTACAACTCGCCTATCTCTGTACCAGCTCTTGGTCTACAACTCGCCTATCTCCATGCTCGAGACGACCAAGTTCGATGCGCAAGCCACATACGTCTGCTAGAGCTATATCCAGGCCCTATGATTTTTGGATCACTGGCACTATGGGTGCCAGGACCGGAGTCGCCCTCATCCACCAAGTGGATCAAGGAGGCCCACCACCTAGACTCTACATCGCAACATTTTGTGTTTTCCTATAAAAAGT